CCCTTATCTTCAATTTCATTACCCGTTCCTTTACTGTTGTTTTTCTCCTGATGTGGCTGTGCAGCAATTTACTGAGGCCCTTACACTGAGTCTTTGCCTTGCTTGCGATGTCATTTTCATATTGCCCTTCTGCCTCTCTTCTCAATCTGACATATTCATTCCTGGCATTCTGGTGTATCTTTCTCTGCTCCCAAGTGTCCTGTTTTTTCTATAGTTTACCACGCCCTTTTACTTTGCTGCTTAGCTTGCCTACATCTCTGATTAAACCATGGGTTTCTCATCTTCATTTCGTTGTTTTCCTTTTGGATTGGGACAAATTTGTCTGCTGCTTCCTTACACCTCTGCGTGATGTAGTCCATCATGTCTTGGGCCGTCTTTCCTCTGAGCTCTGTTTCCCATGTTATATTTGTTAGGAATTTTCTTATCTCCTCAAAGTTTCTCTCTCGGAATGTCAGCCTTTTGTTTTCAGTTCCCCTCCTCGAGTTCCTTAACTCTTCTTCAACCAGATACTCGAACGTCAGTACACTGTGGTCACTCATTCCTACCGGGGCCTCGAATCCGATATCGTGTGTGTGTGTGTGTGTGTGTGTGTGTGTGTGTGTGTGTGTGTGTGTGTGTGTGTGTGTGTGTGTGTGTGTGTGTGTGTGTTGTTGAGCTCTGTGGTGTGTGTGTGTGTGTGTGTGTGTGTGTGTGTGTGTGTGTGTATGTGTGTATGAGTGTGTGTGTTTGTTGTGTTGTGTGTGTGTGTGTGTGTGTGTGTGTGTGTGTGTGTGTGTGTGTGTGTGTGTGTGTGTGTGTGTGTTTAGAAACATTTCTGAATCATTTCCTTGTTAATTAACATTCGTATATCAACAACGCAGGATTAAAGCAAAACCAGACATACTTATACCATCCACAAGTAATTAACTCCGAATCCAATTACAATTAAGATTCCGGAAGCTGTTCCTGGCAGTGGTGCCCACATATAGATGGACCATTGGCCCTGGTATGAGGCACTTCGCAGGGCAACAGCACAACTCCACAGCCCTAAGTGTCATTATCCAAAGCGAACTCGCCATTTATTTATGTTAATTATCCTGAGAGAGTTGAGCCCAACTTGTGAAATGTATTCGTGGAGACTTTGTCTTGAGTGGCGTTGTTTATTGTTAAGTTTGTGTTCAATGTAACCGATGAACAGTCATTATATTTCTAGTAAAATGAACTTCACGAACTGGTAAATCAATATCATTAAAAATATTGAATTAGACTTAGACTTAGAGACGTCTAAGTTCAGTTGAGTGAATCACGAAAGTGATCTGAGCTCGAATGTCATATTATAGGTTAATATTACCTTCGTTTTGAAGTCCAAGGTCAGCATTAGAGGTTACAGGGCCTCAGATGGGACACTCTTGCAGGCACGAGATATAGCACGTCTTTTGAGAGCCAAATTGCTTTGATGTTGGAGTTATTGGTGTGAGGGGTACTAGGGTGGGGTGTGTGGGGCTAGGAAGAGGGCCTCTAGTGGGCTAGGAAGAGGGCTTCTAATGGGCTAGGAAGATGGCTTCTAATGGGCTAGGAAGAGGGCCTCTAGTGGGCTAGGAAGAGGGCCTCTAGTGGGCTAGGAAGATGGCTTCTAATGGGCTAGGAAGAGGGCTTCTAATGGGCTAGGAAGAGGGCTTCTAGTGGGCTAGGAAGAGGGCCTCTAGTGGGCTAGGAAGAGGGCCTCTAGTGGGCTAGGAAGATGGCTTCTAATGGGCTAGGAAGAGGGCTTCTAATGGGCTAGGAAGTGGGCCTCTAGTGGGCTAGGAAGAGGGTCTCTAGTGGGCTAGGAAGATGGCTTCTAATGGGCTAGGAAGAGGGCCTCTAGTGGGCTAGGAAGAGGGCTTCTAATGGGCTAGGAAGAGGGCCTCTAGTGGGCTAGGAAGAGGGCCTCTAGTGGGCTAGGAAGAGGTCTTCTAATGGGCTAGGAAGAGGGCTTCTAATGGGCTAGGAAGAGGGTTTCTAATGGGCTAGGAAGATGGCTTCTAATGGGCTAGGAAGATGGCTTCTAATGGGCTAGGAAGAGGACCTCTAGTGGGCTAGGAAGAGGGCTTCTAATGGGCTAGGAAGATGGCTTCTAATGGGCTAGGAAGAGGACCTCTAGTGGGCTAGGAAGAGGGCTTCTAATGGGCTAGGAAGATGGCTTCTAATGGGCTAGGAAGATGGCTTCTAATGGGCTAGGAAGAGGGCCTCTAGTGGGCTAGGAAGATGGCTTCTAATGGGCATGGAAGATGGCTTCTAATGGGCTAGGAAGATGGCTTCTAATGGGCTAGGAAGAGGGCCTCTAGTGGGCTAGGAAGAGGGCTTCTAATGGGCTAGGAAGAGGGCTTCTAATGGGCTAGGAAGATGGCTTCTAATGGGCTAGGAAGAGGGCCTCTAGTGGGATAGGAAGAGGGCTTCTAATGGGCTAGGAAGATGGCTTCTAATGGGCTAGGAAGAGGACCTCTAGTGGGCTAGGAAGAGGGCTTCTAATGGGCTAGGAAGATGGCTTCTAATGGGCTAGGAAGAGGACCTCTAGTGGGCTAGGAAGAGGGCTTCTAATGGGCTAGGAAGATGGCTTCTAATGGGCTAGGAAGATGGCTTCTAATGGGCAAGGAAGAGGGCCTCTAGTGGGCTAGGAAGATGGCTTCTAATGGGCTAGGAAGATGGCTTCTAATGGGCTAGGAAGATGGCTTCTAATGGGCTAGGAAGAGGGCCTCTAGTGGGCTAGGAAGAGGGCTTCTAATGGGCTAGGAAGAGGGCTTCTAATGGGCTAGGAAGATGGCTTCTAATGGGCTAGGAAGAGGGCCTCTAGTGGGATAGGAAGAGGGCTTCTAATGGGCTAGGAAGATGGCTTCTAATGGGCTAGGAAGATGGCTTCTAATGGGCTAGGAAGAGGGCCTCTAGTGGGCTAGGAAGAGGGCTTCTAATGGGCTAGGAAGAGGGCTTCTAATGGGCTAGGAAGAGGGCCTCTAGTGGGCTAGGAAGAGGGCTTCTAATGGGCTAGGAAGATGGCTTCTAATGGGCTAGGAAGATGGCTTCTAATGGGCTAGGAAGAGGGCCTCTAGTGGGCTAGGAAGATGGCTTCTAATGGGCATGGAAGATGGCTTCTAATGGGCTAGGAAGATGGCTTCTAATGGGCTAGGAAGATGGCTTCTAATGGGCTAGGAAGAGGGCTTCTAATGGGCTAGGAAGATAGCTTCTAATGGGCTAGGAAGAGGGCTTCTAATGGGCTAGGAAGAGGGCTTCTAATGGGCTAGGAAGATGGCTTCTAATGGGCTAGGAAGAGGGCTTCTAATGGGCTAGGAAGATGGCTTCTAATGGGCTAGGAAGATGGCTTCTAATGGGCTAGGAAGAGGGGCCTCTAGTGGGCTAGGAAGAGGGCTTCTAATGGGCTAGGAAGAGGGCTTCTAATGGGCTAGGAAGATGGCTTCTAATGGGCTAGGAAGAGGGCCTCTAGTGGGATAGGAAGAGGGCTTCTAATGGGCTAGGAAGATGGCTTCTAATGGGCTAGGAAGATGGCTTCTAATGGGCTAGGAAGAGGGCCTCTAGTGGGATAGGAAGAGGGCTTCTAATGGGCTAGGAAGATGGCTTCTAATGGGCTAGGAAGAGGGCTTCTAATGGGCTATGAAGATAGCTTCTAATGGGCTAGGAAGAGGGCCTCTAGTGGGCTAGGAAGAGAGCTTCTAGCGGGCTAGGAAGATGGCTCTGAATGAGTTTGGTAGAACATTTTTAGTGATCTAGAAATGTGACGCTGTGTAAGCTAGGAAAAGGATTTTTAATGGATTAAGAATATGGCTCTTAGTGAGCTAAGACTATAGCTCCTAGTGATCAAGGAATATGGTGCCTAGTTGGACAGGATCAGGGCTCCTAATGATAAAGGAATATGGTTCCTAGTTGGACAGGATCAGGGCTCCTAGTGATAAAGGAATATGGTGCCTAGTTGGACAGGATCAGGGCTCCTAATGATAAAGGAATATGGTGCCTAGTTGGACAGGATCAGGGCTCCTAATGATAAAGGAATATGGTGCCTAGTTGGACAGGATCAGGGCTCCTAATGATAAAGGAATATGGTGCCTAGTTGGACAGGATCAGGGCTCCTAGCGAGCTTCAAAATGCGCCCTAGTGAGCGGGGAAGATGGTTCAACTAGTCCTGTATATAGTTAGGACCTTCGATTTGTTGAAAGTTTTAATATTACCGTTTTGTAAGTTTAATTGTTACAGAATCCCAATCAATATTTGTCGAATTACTTAATTTTTAAAACATATTTCACCTAAATATTTAAACACATTCTTAATTTTGATTAAACAAGTAACTTCAGTAGAAAATTTACAGTTAATATTTGCAATCATTTAAATTAAAATTGTAAAAATTTCAAAATTAAAAGAAAAATGATAAAAACAAGGAATTTTAAAATAGGATTTAGTGATAAATAATAACACATAAGTAAAGTTATAATTATTTTTTTCGTAAAATAAAGTTATCAAAATATTAATAACATAACAAAATAATTGACTAAATATCATGATATGAAGGGAAACAATTACCCAGTCCAGAGAGGATAAATAATCGTCAATTATTACATAACCAGGATAAATAATGAAATGGAAATAATAGAGTTTGGTGTAATAAGTGAATAGTCTTAGGAATCAGTAGATTAATAGAATATCCATAATATAATAAGAAGTGGAGTCGTAAGTGAATGGAGGGAAGTAGCGTGACTACTGTGTTCGTAATTCACTGTAGTACGGTTACTTGTCGTAGTTACGAATATCTGTAGTTACTGAGCATTGGTTAGACCGTTACTCACCGTATGAAGAGAGACACTGGACGGGGTCACCGTCGTGGTACTCTTTTATGTCGACGCCACTCACCGTACGGACAGAGGCACTGGAAAGTGTCACCGTCGTGGCCCTCCTGTATGTCGACACCACTCACCGTACGGACAGAGGCACTGGAAAGTGTCACCGTCGTGGCCCTCCTGTATGTCGACGCTACTCACCGTACGGACAGAGGCACTGGAAAGTGTCACCGTCGTGGCCCTCTTGTATGTCGACACAGATGCCGGTGTTAAGACAGGGGTCGACGACGCAGGCGTCCAGCTCCTCGCAGTGGGTGCCCTTGTAGCCATCGCAACACTGACACTTGAAGTGTTCCTGCAACACACACAACACCCTAGTCAGTGACACTTGAAGTGTTCCCGCAACACACACAACACCCTAGTCAGTGACGCTTGAAGTGTTCCCGCAACACACACAACACCCTAGTCAGTGACACTGGAAGTGTTCCTGCAACACACACAAGACCCTAGTCAGTGACACTGGAAGTGTTCCTGCAACACACACAACACCCTAGTCAGTGACACTGGAAGTGTTCCTGCAACACACACAACACCCTAGTCAGTGACACATGAAGTGTTCCCGCAACACACACAACACCCTAGTCAGTGACGCTTGAAGTGTTCCTGCAACACACTCAACACCCTAGTCAGTGACACATGAAGTGTTCCCGCAACACCCATGAACAACATCAGCCCCCCAACGCCACCACTCGGCCATAACACTCACACATATGTTGACCAGACCACACACTTGAAAGTGAAGAGACGACGATGTATCGGCCCGTCCTAGACCATTCTCACAATCGACTTGAGAATGGTCCAGGACGGACCGAAACGTCGTCGTCCCTTCACTTTCTAGTGTGTGGTCTGGTCAACATACTTTAGCCACGTTATTGTGACTCCTCGTCTGCTTAAAGTACTCGTAGTAACGTTAGATGTGGTGGAAAGTACAAATATGTCGTGATGGACCAACAAAAAGTATTTTTTTTTCAACTTTATTTTTCGAACTCGATACAAAATAGTACAAAAAAGTGGTTTACTGGGAATCCATTACTATATATTGGTGCGATCGACCACACAGTTTCGAAAAGCATTATCAAAACAGGAGGATGGGTTGCAGTATATAGAAAGAGAAAGGAGATAAAGATAATATAGAAAGGACACAGAAGATAAAGATATAGAGAAGATTTAGAAGAGTAAGATGACACAGAGAAAACATAAAGAAAATACAAAGATAATAAGGGCTGATCAATGGGACTGAACAAAGTTAATTAGCACAATCTGAATTTAATATTGTTCAGCACCGCTGCCACCATTGTAACGACGACGAAAATGGAAAAAGAACGACGAGGAACAGCATAGCTGGAGAAAGAGAATTGCTAGAATTCAATCCCCAAAATTTTCTAAATTAATTAATCAAGGAAATGGAAAAAAAATGATAGAGGGAGGTAGCCATACCTTATGGTGAAGGGAAGTATAAGAGTCTGAAAGAGAGCAAAAAAAAGAGTGGAGTGGATATAACTCCAACACTAACATCACAGGTACACACATAAACCGGGTAACATCAGCAGCATATAAGACTTTACCAAATACCAAATAGGTTTTTTCAGTCTAAACCAGGATTTTTCCTCCCCACACCACCACTTTCCCCATACCATCACTTACCTTACTCCACCACTTCCCCCACACCACCACTTCCCCAACACCGTTACCCACACCACCACTTCCCCTACACCGCTACCCACACCCCTCACCCACCACCTCTGCATGACCCTCACTATAATATACTTTAGACTAGAATAATTAAACTAATACACCCTTCAACTCTTAGTCGTAATTAATATTCTCAATGTGTTAAATTAAGTCACTGACGCGCAGGCAGTGTACGAGAACCAATAATTACATTGAAATAATTCGTTGCTAACGAGGAAAGGTCAAAGGTCACATATGATAAATTTTATTTGGACTTTAAAGCAGCCGTAGTTATTATTCATTGTTTTAGTTCACACGTATTTATTGCGTATTTTAAGAAAATACGACGCGTCAAGTCGCTGCGTTAATCTTGCAGTGAGAAGCTACAGGAACTGGTCTGTCTTGAGGCGTGAGGTAACGAGAGTGGTGAGGCGAGCCTGGGGCCAGATTCACGAAGCAGTTACGCAAGTACTTACGAACCTGGGGCCAGATTCACGAAGCAGTTACGCAAGTACTTACGAACATATAAACCTTTCTTCAATCTTTGACGGCTATAGTTACATTTATTAAACAGTTTACAAGCATGAAAACTTGCCAATCAACTGTTGTTATTGTTATAAACAGCTTCCTGGTGCTTCGGAGCTCATTAACTGTTTAATAACTGTAAACAAAGCCGCCAAAGATTGAGAAAAGATGGTCTTGTTCGTAAGTGCTTGCGTAACTGCTTCCTGAATCTCGCCCCTGGTTCTCAAGAAACGTCTCTCTCCTTAAGAAGCCCGGTGAAAGTGCACTCACACTTCCTTATACACACTCAATTTTGTGTGAATAATATATTCATGGTAAATGCTCCAACTTTTCCTAATGGATCAACATCATATCATGGACAAAAAAATGTTAAAAAAATAGAAAAAAAAAATCGCAATTTCAAATTAATGATAAAAATTTTAAAATGTCAATATTGTTATTTTATTAGTAGTTGGTCTCAGTCTGGCATATAACGTACCTGTTTTTTTTGACCAGACCACACACTAGAAATTGAAGGGACGACGACGTTTCGGTCCGTCCTGGACCATTCTCAAGTCGATTGTGACTTGAGAATGGTCCAGGACGGACCGAAACGTCGTCGTCCCTTCAATTTCTAGTGTGTGGTCTGGTCAACATACTTCAGCCACGTTATTGTGACTCATCGCCTGCACGTACCTGTTTTATTGATAAAATATTGTTTGAGAGAATAGTTTACTGTAATTTTTTTTTCATTTCACATTTTTTCAATGTGGCCATCCAAATATGTGTCAAATTTATAGGTAAAAAAAATATAACTCTAAAGGTTATGACTTTACGACTAAAGAAAGTTATAGAGATCTTAGAACCAAGAACTTTGCACATAATATGTAAAAATGGTGCGAATCAGTCAGAAACGGATTTTTTTTTATCAGGTCTCAGAGTTGAAATTCCTGTTTTAGAGATAATTGAAGTTGAAGTTATTGACAATGAATAGAGGTAGTTCTAATTAATGAATTTTAAATTTAATAAAATTAAATTTAATAAATTAAGTTTAATAACATTAATAAAATTAATAAATTAAAAAAAATAAAAGTCACAGCTTTTGAATGTTTTTTGAATATATGTTTTAATAAATATTGTTTGACATTCGTACTCAAATATGTGAAAGTCAATATATGTTGAAATAAAGTCAAGAGAAATAAACCTTCAAAAAACAAAATATAGGGATACGTTAGGGATAACTATAGAACAGATACTGGGCCCCTTAACTGTCTAACTGTAGGTTAGACATATATATATGAATGGGAATGGGTGGATATAAATAGGAGCTGCATCGTATGGGCCAATAAGCCTTCTACAGTTACCTTCATTCTTATGTTCTAATAACAAATATATATATATATATATATATATATATATATATATATATATATATATATATATATATATATATATATATATATATATATATATATATATATATATATATATATAATATTTTGCAGTAACTTTATTGCCCACATATAAGTGATGAAGCCCTCATCTGGTCCTCATTTATCAATACTACATAAACAGACACATAGAATAGAGTTTGAAATCTGTAAATAAATCGGCCAAAAAAGTAAAAGTCGCAGCTTTTGCCACCTGTGGCTGATTAACATGTTGACCAATTTCGTTCCAACTTCCCGTGCTTAGTGTTGGATATATATTCTCAACGATATAAAAGTCACAACAAAATCCGCATAGAAACAAAGAAGAAAAAACTAAAAAAAAAAAATGAAAGTCTTTAAAGTCAGCTTTTCGTACAAAGGGACAAAAGAACTATTGTCATTGGGCAATGTATTTATATTACATTTGATTAATATGTGTGAAATCTGTCCCGCCAGATGGCACCAGTGTGTCACTATGTAGACCTTCCTCACTACTACTAGTCTTATTTGTGTGTCGGACAGGTGCTTGCATCTCTTTATCCCTGATTACCAGTAAATTGGAGGTGTTATCCTTATTATCAGTACTGGTTGCCGCCCGTCATGCACGCATTATTAAAAAAATCATAAAAAATCTATTTCTTAACATATTGGGATGAAATTTTTACGACGCTGATACCAAATAACGGGAGATTTGTTTAAAAATTTTCACTATTTTTCATATTTGAAAAAATCTGCTCCATCACCGGGCCCCTTAAATAATGCAACCAGATGACCCGTGTTTTTGGTGGGAGGAGAATGGTGGTGTTGACATATAGTTGTTGACAAGTATGTTGACCAGACCACACACTAGAAGGTGAAGGGACGACGACGTTTCGGTTCGTCCTGGACCATTCTCAAGTCGATTTCTTCCCACGACTAGTCTCCTGGTTGGAGGGGGAGAGCTGGGTGCCGGGGAAGAGGGATGTACTCTCCTAGTTGTGCTTGCGGGGGTTGAGCTTCGGCTCTTTGGTCCCGCCTCTCAACCGTCGATCAACTGGTGTACAGGTTCCTGAGCCTACTGGGCTCTATCATATCTTCACTTGAAACTGTGTATGGAGTCAGCCTCCACCACATCACTTCCTAATGCATTTAATTTATTAACCACTCTGACACTAAAATAATTCTTTCTAATGTCTTTATGGCTCATTTGGGCACTCAAGTGCCACCTGTGTCCCCTAGTGCGAGTGCCCCTTGTGTTAAATAATGTCTTTATCTACCTTATCAATTCCATTGAGAATCTTGTATGTGGTGATCATACCCACTACCCCTAACTCTCCTGTCTTGCAGCGACGTGAGGTTCAATTCTAATAGTCTCTCCTCACACTTCATGCCCCTCAGTTCGAGCACCAGTCTGGTGGCACACCTCTGAGCCTTCTCCAATTTAGTTTTATGCTTGACGAGATATGGACTTCATGCCGGAGCTGCATACTCCAGGATTGGTCTGACACACGTGGTATACAAGGTTCTGAATGATTACTTAAACAAGTTTCTAAAGGCAGTTCTTATGTTGGCCATATGCCACTGAGGTTATCTTCTTGATGTGGGCTTCGGTGGACAGGTCTGATGTGATACCAACCCCCAGGTCTTTCTCTCTGATTTTAGAAGAATTTCATCGCCCAAATGATATCTTGTATCTGGCCTCATGCTCCCTACACCTATCTTCATTACATTACATTTGCTTGGGTTAAACTTTAACAACCATTTGTTCGACCATTCGTTCTGTTTGTCAAGGTCTTCTTGAATCCTCATGCTTTCCTCCTCCGTCTTAATCTTTCTCCAAGGGACCTGACAGCTGAGTGGACAGCGCTTCGGATTCGTAGTCCTGAGGTCCCGTGTTCGATCCCCGGTGGAGGCGGAAACAAATTGGCAGAGTTTCTCTTCCCCCTGATGCGCCTGTTACCTAGCAGTAAATAGGTACCTGGGAGTTTGACAGATGCTACGGGCTGCTTCCTGAGGGTGTGTAACAAAAAGGAGGCCTGTTCGAGGACCGGGCTGCGGGACTCTAAGCCCCGAAATCATCTCAAGATAACCTCTGCATACCAAGGATTGTAGAGGTGAAGTAGATGAGTTGCAACCCGTCCTCTTAAAGATAACGTCACTTTTGGCTCGTATGCGCGCTATGGCCCAAAGTGGACGTAATTTGAAATGAAATCGACTCACAAAAGTGACGTACTGCCCCGTTTTTTGTTTGAGTCGTCCGGCTTACTCGGAAAGGTTAGAAGAGGAAACATTTAATTAACGTTTTTCATAACGTTTTTAAACTTTATGAGAATTTCCCGCCCACCTAACCAATCAGAGGACCCTTAACTAACTGTTGTTAAAAAAAAATCAAAATATATTTTAATTTTTTAAATTTTCAAATTACGTCCACTTTCGGCCATACTCGTAAACGGCCAAAAGCGACGTTATTTTTAAGAAGACAGGTTGTTGAGCGGTGTGTGGGTGAGTTGACTGGAGGGCAGGTATGTGCAGGTGTGTGTAGGTGTGTGCAGGTGTGTGAGGTGTGTGTAGGTAGGCTTATCTTGGAGGATAGCTGGACGGTCAGACGGTACGACCACACGTTTGACGCATGCGTCTAACGTGTTGGACGTCGAACTCGTTCCTCCTCTTGTGTCTTTATTTTCCTAGTACTACCACTCACCTCGTCCGTCCCGTAGTCCAGTGTTCCACAGCATGCGTCCATCCTGTAGTCCAGTGTTCCACAGCATGCGTCCATCCCGTAGTCCAGTGTTCCACAGCATGCGTCCATCCTGTAGTCCAGTGTTCCACAGCATGCGTCCATCCCGTAGTCCAGTGTTCCACAGCATGCGTCCGTCCCGTAGTCCAGTGTTCCACAGCATGCGTCCATCCCGTAGTCCAGTGTTCCACAGCATGCGTCCGTCCCGTAGTCCAGTGTTCCACAGCATGCGTCCATCCCCTGGTCCGGTGTTCCACAGCATGCGTCCATCCCCTGGTCCAGTGTTCCACAGCATGCGTCCATCCCTGGTCCGGTGTTCCACAGCATGCGTCCATCCCCTGGTCCGGTGTTCCACAGCATGCGTCCATCCCCTGGTCCTGTGTTCCACAACATGCGTCCGTCCCGTAGTCCAGTGTTCCACAGCATGCGTCCATCCCGTAGTCCAGTGTTCCACAGCATGCGTCCATCCCGTAGTCTGGTGTTCCACAGCATGCGTCCATCCTGTAGTCCAGTGTTCCACAGCA